TGGTTATCATAATAACTGCAAATGCGTAAAGCGTTGATAATAGCGGTGCGGAATGGCTCAGGGAAGAGCGAAAACATATCAGAGACAGCCGATTGACAAAGTATCTAGTTGGCTGTCGTTTTTCTTTCGACCCAGTATAGGGGCCGATTATGCTTTAATATCGGAATGGCCCGAGTGCAGTTAGTAGCAGAGACTGGGACCAATGGCACTAGAAGGCAGAGCGGAAGCATTATCAGTAGTACCAAAGATAAATGAGCAAAATATGCAACGTTCATTTGGCATTCTGTTGGTCTAGGCCATTGAGGCCTGGTCGCGCATTAGGATAATCGTGCCGTAGCCTCCTAGGCTCGCTTTGTACTCGTTTCGCGTGACTGAAGACTGGTAGAGGTTGAAAAACTGAAGTCGACGCCTTTACTGCCACCGGCATCAGGGACGCGAAGGTCTCAAGAACAACTGCTTTTTTGGTGCCCGCTAGAACGTTCCAAAGCTGCATTTTCATGATATCTATGTGTGGTATATGTGTGAGCACCAATCCTAATACTATTTTTCCTATATTTTCCGCTGAATGGGAGGCTCGACGGGTGAAACTGCTATACATAGCGCCCTTTCCCTCCATAAAGTTACGTTCTCTTCGCTCACTTACGTTCCGGTACGTCCATGCTGCTCAGGCTACCCACGTCGTTTTCGTTGCCACCGCAGTAACTGGAGCAGGATGGCAACAAAGGCTTGCAAAGCAGGTTTTTTTTGAGGGCTCTTTTTCCTCTGTCTTTCAAAAAGATATCATATTATCTCTCGGAATGAATTCCATACTAAAGGCGCGAAACACTGACGACGCCAGCTGCTTGAATAATGTACATCCTCAACATCGTCTCATCTCTGGTTTTCTATTTCCCATAGAATGTCTCCAGTCCTGCGCCGAAATTTGACGCACGGCCGTTATCTAACTGAGCGCATCGATCGCCTATCCACCCCTCTTATCGCAAGACATCAAAGGGCATCATGCGAACAGGAAAACCTAGATGTTGTTCATTCACCATGCAAAGCAGGCGGTGGTAAGGACGGCAATCCGGGAAAGGACGGAAGTAGCAACCACTAATGCACAAGACAAAAACGCACCTCAGACTCTTCAAAACATATCGTACGGTTCAAGCACATGGCAAGAGTGCGTGCTGTGTGTGTGCATGTGCGCGCGTGTTTGTAGCATGGTGGTCTGCCCTTTGACAGCGGGCAAAAAAAAGAGGTCTTCACTGAAAACAAATGCTAACTCGAATGGTAACATGGGACATGAGGCACAGTAAAGTGCTATCAAACGCTTTAGCAGCACTGCCCGCTACCATTGCCTTTGCCAGCGGCCGCCATGCCCTCTGTTAAAAACACTTTGTGCAGGTGGAACTCCACGTGTTGCGATCTGATCAACGGAAGACTTGGAAGAAGTTCCTGTTTTTTTGCCCCCTACCATCATTTCCTCTTTATAACAGAACGAACGCCTCAACGGCATTAGCTTATCGCTTACGGACCAAACAAAACGCACGTCACGCAGGTCACGGCGGCTGTGTGGAAAATGCAGCGTGGTGATGCTGTTGCGTGGCGTTTCAAGCTGTTAGCTACACGGGTTAGCCAAAGAAAGGCTGGACTGCTGAAGCAAGACGTGCTTCCACTATGTAGGCTATTTTAGGAGAAAGGCAAGAAGAGCGAATGCCTAAAGCATCAAGCAGCAGCAACAACAGCGGTCGAAGTAACATGTCGGCGTGTCTATTTCGTCATCAGCCAGACACCACTGCAGTGCGCCACGGCAGTCCGTTAAGCGTATTTCTTTTCTTCTTCTGCCGTCTGTCAATCATCAGCTGAAGTTTTTCCATCTTGGCTGTTGGTTTTCAGTCGCCATATTTGTTTTAGTCACGTGTTCTTCTTTTCGTGTTCGGCCCCTTTTATCAAGGCTATCCAAATTGGTGACACTGAGTGAGTATCGAGTGTCGACGATCACAACCCTTGCTAGCACATAGTGCAACTGCTAAATAAATGTTTTAGGTTTACCTCCTGTACTGTCGTTAAGAATTGCTTCAAATACGACAGTTTCTACCAGCCGTACTAGAATATAGCTGTATATGTGTTTCGTGTAGGCTCATGTCTCGTACGTTACGTGAAACGCTTCCTTTCCTATACGGAAAAACGTTCGTTTCTTCTCGGCGAACGTCAATGGACGACTTACGCCTAGCGGCGAAAAAGAAATAGTGTTGGGCGATACCAGCCGCAGCTTCGCTACGTAGTACGGTTGCTTTTACCACACATACATTATATATATATATATAAAAGTAGCCGCAGCAGTGAATGAGCTAGCGAGTAGTGCGTAGTGCGAGGAACGCTGAAGAGGTGGTGAAGGGGGAAGGGCTGACTAGTAGGGGGACTGCCACTGCTGCGGCAGTTTTGATGACAGTCTAGTAGCACTCGTAGCAGTGAACAATTCTGATGAGCGAGTCTCTTCTCTGCTCAGTCGAGCCCTACCAGGCCATCGCCAGCAGCAGCATTTTACTATATCTGTTCTCGACGCGCCCGCTTCGTTGCCTCTCTGCCTGCCAGCCTTTGCAATCCTCAGAACGGTGCACCATCATCAACAACACCCAGTGTGCTGCAGTAGGGTAGAGGAGTGCCAATAGAAACTTTTTATCGCGATTTCTTCCCGAGGCAATGCCTCGAGTCGCGTAAACGTGAAGGAATCGGCAGGCACCAGGCGGAGCGATTCGTTCGACGGAAACGCCGCGAGACGCAAAAGCGCCAAGACCCACCGAACGGCTGATAGAGCGACCGTGGATCGACGAAAAAGACGGCTAAAAGAAAAAGAAAGAGAAGGTCCGGCTAACCCACGAAGGCGAATTGCCATTGAAGGAGAACGGAAAAGTGACCGAAAACGAGGAACAGAGATGGAAGGAGAGATAAGGAGGGCACTTTTGTTCCTCTGCAGTCGAGTCCATCTCGTCACGGAGGCCGACAGACAAACACACTGACAGACAGACACTCAGGTACCTGCAACTGACCCATGTCAGTAAGTTTTTCTCTAGGGGGGACTTGTAGGGGAACTATACACTTTGATTCATGAGAGTAGGATGAGTAAACAGGACGGCTACTTTCGGACTCCGTTCTCCGAACATTTGCGGTGGACGTTATGCGGGTGGTTTTCTTTGTAGTATTGCTAGTAATCGGAAATACCAACGATGGATTCAGTTCGATAGTATGACTTAGGGAAAAGCTTCGAAAACATGGAAACAATAAGAGAGTACTAACATAGGACAGCAAAGGATGGGAGAACTGAAGAAGCTAGTCCTGTAACGCGTTGCTGAAGGTCATCACGGACCGGGGCAGGTGATGTGAAGTGTAATGATATCATCGTGTGACTCAGGTACGCAAACATAATACTACCATTACCATTAACTTTCCTCATTTAGTGGCTCAATAGGCACCTTTTTCTTCTGTTAGAGAAGAACAAAGGTTTCTCTGGTTTTTGAAAGCGTTAGTTGGAAAAGTTTTAGATCCAAGCCGATAACGAATGTCTTAGCTCAGAAAACGACATTAGGAATAAAGAAAGAAGCTGAGCACAGATACCATTCTGCTGAGTCTAACATATTCAATTATTTAGCAACTGCTAAAATCGTTGTCCGTATATCGAGTTTATGGTAAATGTTATGGTAAAAATAAAAAAAAAAAGCAATCTAAGTCCTTCCTTAACATTCAATCGTCGCCTACCGTTCAGCATTTAGCCTTCGTTAGGAAAAGGACTTGTAAAGTGCGGTCCCGCCTGGGAGGGCGTGATCTTACTGAAACAAAAGGCTGAGTGAAGGGAAATGGGCAGCGGAGTGTCTGATCAAGAAGCTACCCCGAAACCTAGAGAAAGCTCACCTTAAGTGTGATTTGGTGACTGGTGAGAATGGCAGCCCTTCGAAGCTTCTCTCATTTCTAGACTCCTGGATTCCTATTACTCTTTAACCTCGAAAAAGGCTTAGAATCTCTAAGGACACGAAAGCAACAAAGAGTAAGTCTAAAGACCGGTTCTATGTTTGCGATACGAATCGGTCTTTAAGTCTAAAACGTGCCTCTTAGACGTTTGTCTTTTGCTTTCGGGTTACAATCTGTGAGCTAGAAAGGAAAATAAGAGGACAGTCATGTTTTAAAAGCCCATGGTCGTCGAAATGGACTCGAATCGTTGTTTATACAAAACCTTTTGCTTCGGAATCGTCGCGCATAGAACTGGTGGTACCCTATAAAAGATTAGAATTTCAGTTCGAGCTACGAAATTAAACTATGCTTCAATGCCTGAAACACCACAAGTAAATATAGAATGCGCTACATGGAGAGCGACGTTTTTTTCAAAAGTTAACCTACACTATGCCGAACATATGCCTATATGACCTAGCATGTGTTTTGAAAGATCAGTTGGAACCCCCCACTTCCGATCTTGAACGTTGCCGTTCATTGAATCGAAAATCTTCTCAAAAAAAATTTATAATCATTCGAATAATACAGAGAAACGGTGTAAATAATCTAATTATCCTATTTTTGAAGACCTTAAGATACGTATGCTTAGTGGGACAATCAAACCTTGTGTAATGCATTATTACTTGATAGAAACTTCCTACCAAGTTAAGTAGCATATTTTAATATCATTCAATAATAAAAAAAATTAAAAAAAAAATTAGAAAAATCTCTTCTTCTCACCATCACTCCTTTTGTATACTGAAATATATTTACAATACTAATGATAATGATAACTACACTAGAGCCCTACATGTTGCTATGATACGCCTAATATAGTAGAACATAACAAATCTTGTCGTTTATGATAGGATCGGCAATAGCAGTAGAACGTAGCATAAACTGTAATTTATGTTCGACTACGCTGTTATTTATTTTCAAGTAAGCTCTTTTAGAAGGGTTTTAAGCCCTCAGATATTTATCATTCTACTACATTTTAACTGCGTATTAACGTCAGACATCCCTCTTGAACTTACCCTCGTGGTCTTCATAGACGAGAGCAAATGATTTCCAGTCCCACGTCTTGATCAGGTCAACGTAAGCCTGGGCCAAAATTGAGGGCTTCGGAAAGAGGTTTATGGAAAGATCATCGCGTTGCAGCTGGAAGTCCCAGCGCATCTCAACGTGGGGCACGTCGAGGGCGTCGCAGATCGACTGGACATGCATCGAGGTGACGTCGGATGTTGGTCCAAAGATGCCCGCGATGCCCTCCCGTAACAGCGTGCATACCTTCTTCGTCGCCCGGAAGCAGTCGTCTTTCTCGACGCGCTCCACTCGCGGCACTAGCCGCGATTTGAGCAAAATACTTTGGTCGTTATTGACGCGCTCGATGGCCACGCGGAACGCGAAGTCCTGCTCGTCGTCCTCGTTGTCGAACAGCCCTCCTGAAACAAAAACAGTGGTAAATTGGACGGGTTAGATAACATTATAAAACATCATTTTCTTTATGGTTATAAAGTGTGTAGATATTTTTGTTTGGACATATAGTAGCGACTACCTGCACTAGTCATTCAACCGTAATTTTTGAGCTGACAGACTCAGGGCCGTAGTAGTTTTTGCCGCAAAATATTTAATCGAGCGAGGTGGCTAGTCGAAAATATCGTTGTGCCGCTTAGGTGTAAGATAAATTTCTAAAAACGTTGTTATCACAGAACAAACGCACCATAGTAAATGCAATAAGAAACAATGCTAGTTACCTTCACTACAGAGGCACTATGTTAACGTGTTGTTTCTTACTGTAACGTTTTATATGTATGTTCTAGTGTTTTTACTCCTCGGTCCAAGTAGCGCCGTGAGTTTATAGGGAGCTCACGTAGAAAAAAATGAGCGTAAACTCATTAATTAAGCCTAAATTTTTCCTAGGTCTACATCCGGCCAAAGCAATAAGAAGCTTAAATAAACGAGATCATTGCTATCTATATATGCCGTATTGCTACGAAGTGATACAGTGGAGCCACACGATACTGTGCTTCATATACAATTATGAGTTATGAAGAATATACGCCCTCGTTGGGAACTGCCACTGTTGCTTTTCCTCTCTGACTCCTTTGTATTTTTTCGTTATCTGCCTTGTTTACTTCTGTCTGTGTGTGCCATTGATAAGGTCTGCTTATGAAACATTGAAAACAGAAAAGAAAAGACGCAATTTAGCATTTCGCTTAATCGAGATGGATGAATGGACATAAGCTGTCCGGGCGATGAATCCTAACAGTGGCCAGTTCAGTATATATTATTTTTCAAAAAATCACTATTTCTTGTCATGTTTGTGCCTGCAGGGTTCAAGCTGTCGTCTGCTTGGCTAGTTATGTAGTGGAGGACATTCTTTGTTTACCCTAAACAAATCTAGTACTTAGTACTAGATTAGTGCACCTACGCAATTTCGACAAAGTTGTTGACGTGTCCTTCATTTGTTCACAAATAAGTACAAACTAAGAATGCGTCCAATAGTTATCAACTGAATGTCAGTTGAGTCACCTTCAAAGGCTTCTCCAGCTGTTAATCGACTACACTAAACGTAACAAGATTATTAGATGCGAACATGTACTTTACTGTAGTAAGATTCATATTCCTAACCATTCACTAATGGATTAACGCATGTCATCTTGGGCCTATTCTATTAGAGTTCTCCGTGATAGTTAGATGTGACTAGACAATTTATTCCAAGGAAAAGTCCGCACGTCTGTCCTGCAGGACAGAAAAGCCTATGAGGATGACGGAGTAACTAGAAGCAATAATAAAGCCGAATTTAATGGCGTATTGTCTATTCTGTTGAGAAATGTAGACGAGTTTGATTGCCACACGTGGTGACTATTTTTAGGTTTATTCCACTTACAGTTATGAAGTACGTTCCGTATGCTTGGACGTATATAAACGTTCGCTAGAACGGTAAAGCACCCCTACAGACTCGAAAAGTAGGCTATATAGTGCGGTTTATGAGACAATCAACAGAGATGGCTGAGTAATTTGAATCGCACGTTCCGCTCTGTTACAACACTTTATAGTGTATAACACCATGTTTTTCTCGTACATAAAGGAGTTCTTGTCTAGCTTTTTCTATTTCTATGTCAACACAGATGATTTCTCTCGCATATATAGGCATTTCTAATATTCGGTTCGTCATTCGGCGACAACAGCAATAACGACAATGAAAGTCGACAGAGGTATGATTTCTGCTAAAACAACAGCCTTCGATACCTGGCTGCTGTCATCGCTCACCGCATACATACCCACGCCGTCACACCAAAGGCTCGAACACGAATGTATTTACGAAACAGACGAACTCTGTGTAGCTAGCCAGCTGCATGCTTGTTGATCTCCAGAAGTACCTAATGATCGACGAATTAAGCCGCTATGGCGAGTCATAGAAGATTCCTTTGCTTGTTATGAATGAATGCTATGCCCAGTATCATTATCGCATTCAGTCATAGCCGCCTGCTTGCGATCCCCTGCAGAGTTAAACGAGGAGAGCAACGGGGCTGGCCAGGAGAGCTAAAGAGGATCTAGGTCATCTTTGGGTTCACCCTCGAGCATCCTTTCCCCACCAGATCCCGACCGTTCCAATCGATGCAGTAGTCAAATATCTAACCTACCGCAGTAGAAGGTAGTTCCTTCTAACAGCTAGTGGCCTCGGCCTGCTTTGTCTTCTCTGCATCTTCCCTGCAGTACTTCGTCTTTTGGTCGGAGCCTCTTTACTGTCGGAATATTCGGCTTTCAGGAAATCAAAAAATAACTACTTTCTCGTAGTATATTGATAGCCCCGGCTGCTTTAGCACTTGCTTTAAGGATTGTCCGTATGCATTCATTTAGGTTGGTGATTTTTATTCAGTTCCTACTCTGGTATAGTCCTTAAAAAAGAATAGCAAAAGTACGCATAAGACGTGCGTGCAAGCTGTGGTGACAATACTGTATAATTGTTAAATTTGGTCATCTATTTCACAATGAATGAACATACATTTCAATCCGATTGGCGTAAGACGGAGATATTCATTTAGACCCTCTGAACCTGATTAAAACAAGAGGCTCAGGTGTAAACAAATATAACTGGCTAGTCGAACATTGAATAAATATGCTAAAATATTTTATGAGCAACGTGTGAAAACGTAAGCTTTAGGAGTTACTCTATCTACAGTATTGTTTTTTTTTTTTTGATTAACAATATAGTAGTACCTAGCGCTAACAACAGCTTAATTTTGAGTCTAACAAAAAAAAATGATTTTCTATGTTATCACGACGAAAAAGCAGCGCATGCGCGAAAAGAAAGTTTTTTAAACGTATAGAATGTATGGTCATAAAATATTTCGTTACTTTACAGCTTACCACAAAATAAAATGCAACAATCACGCTTGCTTTTTTAATATCCTCGAGGTAGGGGTACTGTATTAAAAGGCATTAAAGTTAAAGCTTTGAAGTTAAAGACTTGAACATAAATCACCTTAACGAAACACTCGGTTTGATGGTATTATTAACCGCCGCGTCCGTCCCCTAGTGTGGTGGTTCGTCAGAGTGACCACCGGTTATCATTATACCAGTTCGTCAGTTCCTTTTTGCCCGACGTGAAATAGCAGCTAATCGTATTACGTCTCTTGCGGTCTTGGGACGCGTGACCCGAATGGTATGGGCCTTCATTTCAAGCCCACTAGCTCTCGAGAATCAAGAGTATCTGAATAAATTCGCCTTTCTTGAAACCTTGCCGATAGTGTTTAGCGCATGAGCAAGGCAATGGCATTAGCAACTGTTTTAAGTGAGGAAGTCATAGCAATAGTTGCTGTTGTAGCCTTCAGCATGAATAGAATAGTTTATATCGGACGCTCGCTGTTTTATCCTTTCAGAGTCGCGCGCTTCTTGACGAAATTTTTTCCAATCGTTTCACTTCTCTCTGTATCTTCTTACTTTCTCGATCGCTGAACTACGACAAAAACGTTACGCCAAAACCTTCGTAGGTCCTTTTCATACCTTTACCTTGGCCTTTTTTCCTTAGTGCGCTGCCACTGTCTAAAAGTGTTCTCTCTTCTCGTTTTGATTCTACGCGTACGCGGATGCTCATAGTGGAGCCAGCGCGATGACAAGGAATAGCGCACCTGCTCCTAGTTTTGCCGATGGCACGCGAACTCATCAACCTCGAAATGCGCCGTTAGTTCAGTCGGCGACATCTACATTATCGTCGCCGCTATTTCCTCCGTAGTTCTAGGAAGTTTATTGAACGAACGAATGATCAGGAGAGAACTGCTAGTACTCGCTGCTGCTTCTGCGATCACCTTTGCTGGAAGAGTGCGCTCTAAGTGTAGAGACAGTGACCGATCCGTCCCCTGCGAAACGAGCGGAAGAAAGCTACTTTGATCGAAAGCCGTCGGCGTCATGATCCCTAAGGACGGTCAGAAGTAAAAAAGGCAGCAGAAGAAAAATGAGAGGCTGCAAAAATAACGACAGAAACTTGCCTTCTCTTGTCTCTTTTTTCCTTCAGGATATTATTGCCGACAAGTAGCCAGCACAAAGTACGGTAGAGGACATCATATAACAGAACCACTCGCAGAAGACTCGTTGGCTATCTACCACCAGCCTGCCCAGTGCATGCTGCTGTCTGGTGCGGCATCGGCGCCAACGAGAAGAGGAAGGACTTCTTGGACTTTTCGGCCACTCAGTGCCCGGCTGCTGCCGCTTCTCAGAACTGAATTGTGATAAATTAGTCCCTTTGGCATGGCCGCGGCTCCTCAGCCTTGAGCGAGTGTGCGCTACTATCTGTATCGACACGAGTCCGCTGCGGAGCACGATGAGGGAGGACCGCGCTACGAAAATAAGTAGGAAAAAGGAGACGAGTCAGGAACCAGGCGCACGCTAGCGGTAGGATTAGGAGGCGCTTTTTCACTCTTACGCTGGGCAAGCGAGAGAAAGAGAAGTCCAAGGAAATTGGGCTTTTGTCGGCCCTACTATCTCTTTGTTAGTCCGGGTAAGATCCTTCGACGCAGAGCGCACCGCACCGGCGACTAGGACTGAGGGTCTGCTAATTCCAAATGGGTGTAATTTACTCTTAAGACACTTAACGACGTACGTGCCCCCAATGAATAGCGAAAGACGACCAGTGAGACACGAAAGTGCGAGAAGAACGAGAAAAGTTAATGCCGTTACCATGCTTGCCTTCAACTAGTACAACACGCGAGTGTTACGACTATTATTGCTACTGCCTTTGCCCCTGGTGGTTCAACTACGAAACTGGGCCGTCTTTACTCCCGATCGTCGAAGCAGAACCGAGCCGTCGTAACGGCCGGCACCCGACAGTTGCTTCTGTACCCCCGCATGGCTTGTATCCACGTAATTAGAGAAAAAGACGACAAAAGAAAGTGCAGCAGGAGTATGAGCCTGTTGCCTTCGGCTAGCCCAGACTAGGCTA